AGACCTGGCTAGCCCATCAGGCCTGGGGACAAAGATAATTGCCCCTCCCGAATGATGAATGAATGTTGCTCATTATTTTTATGTTTGTCTACGTTATTGTTTGTATTTCCCTCCCCTGATTTTATGTAAGCCGCCCTGAGTCCCCTCAGGGAAAAGGGCGGCCTATAAATGTTACTAAACCTAAACCTAAACCTAAACAAACATGCAGTTCCTCTGGGAGGCCTAATTTAATTAACTCTGTGTTTGCAGGCCTTATCTTTTGATATGTAGATTAGGTTTGGGTACCTTATTTGGGGTATTGAAGCCGGGAGAAAGATGTTGGAAATAAAATGGAGGCTGGCTGCAGGAAAGAAGGCCTCTGCTTATCTGGTTTTCCAGAAACTTCAGTGAAAACAGTGTGTTTCTGGGGTGGCTGACACAATGCGGGTTGAGATAGATGGGCGTTTATTCATTCCTTGGGATCTCCATTGGTGGTTGACTGAGATGCCTCTTCCTGTGCAAGAACATGTCCTTTAATATTCTAATGGCTGTTCCCAGGTGCCTGTGGGGGTCATGTAGGGGTCATGGCTGCCTTTATGGGCAAAAGGGGAAATGCAAATCCTAGGTGTTTATCTGAGCTAATAAGGCAGGCCGTAAAGTGAGATTTGGATGTAAAGTGAGATGGTTCGGGGTCAGACTAGATGACCTTTAGTCATTTTTATCTCTGTGCTTTGTAAGGCACAAAAAAAATCTTTGAGACTGGAAGGTTGAACACGGGAAACTTGAACTCGGGAGATGTAAATGTCAAACCACAGAGTCCAGTAAAAGTTCCAGTAAAAGTTCTTATGTCAAATGCCCAAAACCACAGAGTTCAGCTAAAGTTCTTACAGAGACACGTTGCCATTACCTGTGGACCAAGACAAAAGGAGAAGTAAGACAGTATCTACTTATAAGGCTTCTTTCCTCAAGGTAACCAATAAGAAATGAGTTAAGCGTTTCCGTGTTACGCTGCTTTTGAGAATGTATAAGAATGTGTTTCTTCGATGATAAGGGTTGTTCAGAAGTTGCATGCTAGCCTTTGACTAGTTTTCTGAACCTGGCTACCAATAAACCTCTCCTTGATCCCGAGAGACGTCTAAGTCTTGTTATTGTCTGCAACACTAATCTTGTCAGCTCTGGCTCACCTAATTGAGTTGCTTATCCGTTAGCTGATAAATAGATTGCCCCAGTCTTTCTGAATGGCTACCAAATCTCCATTCCTAAAAACCAGCATTCAGTCCCATTCAGTCCAGGTATACGGAGCCATCTTGACAAATGCAAGTTTAGGGGGTATTTGTGTGTCCTTGCAGTGGGTCTCTCATCTTCATCAACCCCCTGCCCCCAACCGAGAGAAAGGAAAAGGCAGAGATCATCCCAGTTCAGTTAGGCAAATTGGGGGAGGGGGAGGGGGAGGCTAACAGGGATTTTGTCGGCCATCCCTCCCCTCTTGCTAAGAAGGGGAAAGGAGGGATCTCGGGTCAGCTCCACAGGGAGGATCCCAGCATTGCTTTGATTCGGCTGAGAGGAAATTGAAGCTCTGGGATCCCCCCAGAGCTCATGTAAAGGGCCTCCTACCTGTTTTGGGAGCTGAAGGAGAGCAACTATATGTCCTCACTTCTTTTTCTTTTGTCCTCAGGTGCCGCCAGGAA